TCTACTATCTCACAGTCATCCTCCACCAATCTCAAACTGGAGGTACCCCTTGTCTACTATCTCACAGTCACCCTCCACCAATCTCAAACTGGAGGTACCCCTTATCTACCATATCACAGTCATCCTCCACCAATCTCAAACTGGAGGTACCCCTTGTCTACTATCTCACAGTCATCCTCCACTAATCTCAAACTGGAGGTACCCCTTGTCTACTATCTCACAGTCATCCTCCACCATTCTCAAACTGGAGGTACCCCTTGTCTACTGTCTCACAGTCATCCTCCACTTATCTGAAACTGGAGGTATCCCTTGTCTACTATCTCACAGTCATCCTCCACTAATCTCAAACTGGAGGTACCCCTTGTCTGCTATCTCACAGTCATCCTCCACCAATCTCAAACTGGAGGTACCCCTTGTCTACCATATCACAGTCATCCTCCACCAATCTCAAACTGGAGGTACCCCTTGTCTACTATCTCACAGTCATCCTCCACCAATCTCAAACTGGAGGTACCCCTTGTCTACTATCTCACAACCAGACTCCACAAATCAGAAACTAGATGTACCCCTTATATAAAAATATAAAACCCGTCGAGATGCGTGTCGGGTTAGTTCTCAGTTCCGGTAGTGCTACGAGCGTCTATCGGGAATAATATCAAGCAAAGTCACCGACTAGTCAGTATCAAACTACATGTTTATCTCCTGCCAAAAAAACAAGGAACTTCTCGTAGAGTGGCTTACATACAGCCAATCAATGGCCTGGGTTTGCTCTGCCGGGTACATTTAGGACGCGATCGTGAATGTCAACAACCCAGTAAACTCCCTGTGTTCTCTAAAACGTATTGCGGAAGTAGATCGAAAGGTCATGAAGTGATCCGGGATGGTATATATATATATATATATATAGATATATATATATATATATATATATATATATATAGATATATAGATATAGATATATATATAGATATAGATATAGATATATATATATATTATCTCAGTCATCCTCCATCAATCTCAAACTGGAGGTACCCCTTGTCTACCCTTGATCCAATGCTACGAGAAAAGAAGCATAGCAAATTGTGTCTGCCACACGAATGTCACGGAAACAGTGATACAATGATACAATGCCCTTTCAGAAACCAAAATTACATACCATTTATTTTTCATGATGGGATGGGTGTTCATGTCAAACTACCGATGCGTAAGTAAAAATTGACATCAATGACTGAGTCATCAAATGCATGTTGCAGGTTGGATGTGCAGTGAACTGTTCAGGTGTATGAGATTCAATGCGTACATAGCCACTTCAACATCGTGTGTCCGTATCATTTTACGGTTACATAGTCGTTGGGATGTGGACAACACAAAAGGATGCTTCTGCATCGATATGACGTCAACATGCGACGGAAGCAGCTGAATTGCAAACACAACCCCGTCATGGAACATGATGGTATACGACATCCCCGTGAAGATCCGGGTTAGAACCGGTGTACCGCAACTCATGATTGTCGTAAGAGATGACCAACAGGATCGAGTGGTCAGGCTTGATGACTTTGTTGACGCATGTCATCGTATCCCAATTGCGTAGATAGATGCTCATGATTTGAATCAGTGGTAGCTGGTCCAGACTCGATTATTTACAGACGGTCGACCTGTAGCTGGAATATTGCTGAGTGCAGCGTTAAACAACAAACAAACATTTATACGACAAGGCAATATGCTCAGTCACGACGGCTAGGATTGTGATTGAGTGAGGTCTTTTCAGGTATGTCTGGCCTGAAGGTTTAATGTGGGAAGTCTGACGGGATGCAGGTTTTCATGTTTACAATCTTCCGAAATCCATAAGCATGGTTGAGGTGCTGACAAACTATTGGATCAAAATAGGGTAAATCTGAGATTCGAATCTATGATCATCGGATTCTGGAACGTTTAAGGGACACAACTCTGAATCATAGGGGCAGCTGGCACAACACAAACGAGGGCACTGAATCATAGGGGCAGCTGGCACAACACAAACGAGGGCACTGAATCATAGGGGCAGCTGGCACAACACAAACGAGGGCACTGAATCATAGGGGCAGCTGGCACAACACAAACGAGGGCACTGAATCATAGGGGCAGCTGGCACAACACAAACGAGGGCACTGAATCATAGGGGCAGCTGGCACAACACAAGCGAGGGCATAGACTAACATATAGTCTCTGAAATGAACATATCGTACAGAAAAAAACAGTTGTTCAGTTATCTTAATAAAAATCTAATAAAAAGGGAGCCCAGTGATTCTCTTCATTTTCAGATACTGCAGTAATCTAGACTTGCCAAACATTATAGACTTGCATGGGCTGTAGTTTATATAAATGTATCAGGGTCTGTAAGACAGACTAGCGAGGGCACTGAATCATAGGGGCAGCTCATTTAACAACTAATACTCTTCATTGCCGTGGGCGTCTCAGCCCCCGGTAAAAAAATCATAGCAATGTGTTTGAAACTGCCAATGTTACTGCAAAATCACCATTTGAATATCAGTACGTGTTTCTTCCATACATCCTCGAGAAACGCAGCAGAATGTCATTATTGATATCAGTAGCTTTTGCTATCATAAGCTTTATTAAAATCGTGTGTCCTATAAACTCACCAGCGAGTGCCACATAACCTAACAGCCTCGCTGCTGACACGACCGCTGTCGTTCACGTACGAGGCACAGGGCATGCTTTGATGAAATTGACATTTCTGGCTCTTCTATGCAGTGTCCTATCGACTTCTTGTAATGGATTGTTACCCACTAGCAGGCTTCGCTGGCTTGTATTGACGATGTGCTATCGAATTACGAGAAGGCAGGCGACGTAGATGTAAAACATCAATAGTGAACAGGGAAAGCGACCTACTTCCTGGTTGGGAGGCAGCCAATCATAAGCCTTGGTTGTCAGATAATGTTATATGATTGGCCCATCGATCACAAGCCACGACATGCCAAGGAAGTGGGACATTTTCGCCCGTACAGTCTGCTTGCTTCGCACGAATGAAAGCATACTGCATCGGTAAAATACAGATACAGGAAATAAGGTTTTTAAAGGGCAGTGGTATTTTTGGAATGCTCGAAATGCAGAAACGCGGAAGTGACAATTATTACAATGTTTTTGGATCACGATTGTTATGTTGATTTAGCTAGTCAATATATTACATGTCCGCGTAAGCCAGCAGGATGTCTGATCGATCAAATAAACATCTCTTTATATGGGCGGAAAGGCTTGCCGCTGATCATAAAAATTGGAATTTACCTTTTACGACAAAATTGGCCGACTTAAAAAATGTAGCATATATTTAACATCACCACTGGTTTAAATACGAAACTATTTCTAGCAAAATACATGTTCTCATGAGAAAGTATCTGTTAGGTGAGGTGAAATTGGGTTTAACGTCGCGTCCAAGATTATTGCACTTATATAGCGACGTGCATGCACGTGTATGTGTGTGTGTGGCTGCTTGTACTAGTCCGGACTGATGCCGATTTATAGTGCTAGCTCACTGAGATACCATGCCGCAGTTTAACATGAATACCCCACTCAGACACAGTATACTGACTCCGAGCCGACCAGTCCTTGTTTTAGCCCCTTAATGCCGAGCGCCAGACAGGGTAAAAACAAGTACAATCTTTTAACGTCTTTTTGTATGACGCGGCCCGGGATCGAACCCTGGACCTTCCGCATCTGTTAGGTGGCGGAGTGAGTGAGTGAATTTAGTTTAGCAATATTCCAGCAATATCACGGAGGGGGACACCAGAAATGGGCTTCACACATTGTACCCATGTCGGGAAGCGAACCCCGGTCCTTGGCGTGACGAGCGAACGCCTTAACCACTAGGCTACCCGACCGCCCCGTTAGGTAGCGGAATTTTTATGTTCATACTGGTATAAGCAAACTCCGTACGTATAGGATTTTTAAAGATTGTTTTGCTGTTAAAACTGTATCAAAGCGGTAAGTATGCCTCGGAGTTCCAAAATTTAGATGTGGTATTAGACCTTTAAGAATCGAAACAGGCAGATGTGTTAGGATATGTTTTAACTGTAATGATCATATTGAAGATGAAGAACATGTTTTATTTCAATGTCCGTTATGAGATTTACCTTATTTACAAGTATAACGGCTCAGAGCCTAACTTTATCAATCTGTCAAACAATGAGATGTTGTGTATTCTTATCAAACATGAGGTATACTCGTAATTCACTGCCAAAACCTGTTTTTTAATATTAGAAAGCAGAAAGCATTTGTTATATGGGTAAAACAGTTGTATATGTATATATCTTTTAGTTTTGTATCGTCTCTCATAGCAGCAGGTGGCACTGTCCTCTTTGTATGCATAAACTCCTATTTATGCAGGTTTTTATGATATAAAGCAGTGAGCCGCTTTTAGCAATATTCCAACTATATCACGGCGGGGACACCGAAAATAGGCTTCAGACATTGTACCCGGATGGAGAATCGAACCTGGGTCTTCGGCTTGACGAGCGATCGCTTTAACCACTTGGCTACCCGACCGCCCCAACAGTAGTATACTGAGGATACAATATTATGATAATGATACTATTGGTATGAAATCATCATAATAACTATATCATAGAAAGTTATAAGAACGGTATTTATTGCAATACAATACTACTTCATATTTATACCCATAACCATCATCATTTAAATAACATATGTGACGGTATTTCCTTCTTCGAATAGCATCAGCTGGTTGTTTGTGCATTTTACGCCATAAAAGTTTTGGGGGGTTTCCCATCAGCAGACATCCTTCTTTAAAGTGGCGTAAACAATATAGCTATCTAAAATAGTTTTATTGAAAACCTCAGTGACGTAAAACAGCTCATCTAAACTTACCTGGGATTTTCATTTGATGCGCTTCCGCAGACCAGAAAACCCAGGCAGTCTTTCACAGCCGTGTTGGGTCGCTACTGAAAAGGGGATTCCCCTTTCTCTATTAATAGCAAGTACTTCCTGGTTGAGGATCTGTTTCATTTGAAAGTTGACGTTCTCGGTGAGAGCGCGTACCAGCAGATGGTGGAACAATCCACGTGGGTAGACTGGCTATCTGCACACACGACGGCAGACAACGTCTTCATGCACATGTTCACGGACGGTGGTTTACTATGTATTTCTCTAACAATCAACGTGTGTACGCTCTCTTTCTTCGGCTGTGGACGCCTCGTGGAGTTTATTGGAAACAAATATGGTTCCAAAGCGACTCTTCTTACTAAATTTGCCGACCTTCAAAGAAGCAAACCCTGGCTTTGGGGCAAAACGTAAGTAAATACCTATCTCTCTCTCTCTCTCTCTCTCTCTCTCTCTCTCTCTCTCTCTCTCTCTCTCTCTCTCTCTCTCTCTCTCTCTCTCTCTCCTCTCTCTCTCTCTCTCTCTGCTATATGTCTGTGATTGTCACTACGCCTATGACTATTATATCTGAAGCTGTGGAAAAGTGTTACCTCTAATTATGGACCGCCTCCGTGGTCTAGTGGTAGGGCGTCCGCCCGGAGAGCGGAAGGTCCGGGGTTCGATCCCCGGCCGCGTCATACCAAAAGACGTTAAAAGATGGTATTTGTTGTTACCCTGTCAGGCGCTCGGCATTAAGGGGCTAAAACAAGGACTGGTCGGCTCGGAGTCAGTATACTGTGTCTGAGTGGGGTATTCATGTTAAACTGCGTCATGGTATCTCAGTGAGCTAGCACTATAAATCGGCATCAGTCCGGACTAGTACAAGCAGCCACTCAAACACACACACGTCGCAATAATCTTGGACGCGACGTTAAACACCACCTCACCTCACCTGTAATTATGACATACGTGTGGCAGGGACTTACCTGTAATTATCAATTAACTGCATCTTCACTTGATGTATTATACGGACAGTGTATTTGAGTACATCTGATCCTGTATCTCTGCTTGAGATCTACTTAACATTAATACCATGACTCACCTGTATTTTTTACTTTACCTGTTGGAGTCAATCGTGCTGTATTCAAACAGACAGTGTGACTTTCAATAATCAACGGAATCAGCTAAAGAGTACAAAGGTAGTACAAGACACTGTCTGTATAAATTGATTTCTAGAAAATTTGGATTGATGACCGGAATAAATATGCACACAATGTTAAAAAAAACATGTTTTTGAAGTTATTTCGTACAGAAAGTGTTGGTTTGTTGTAATAAAAATGAAAACAAAATGAATCTTTTTCAATGACAAGGCAAAGGGTAAATAGTATGTCGATCTACATGAAGTATATATTTTTTTCCATTAAGTTATTTGTTTACAGGCTCGGTAGGGACAATATGAAGACTTTAATTAATCATTATTTTGCATTTGTGAAATTTGGTCGGCGGATCCATTAACCAAGCAAATAACCGGCATTTTCGCCTTTAGAATTGTCTGCCTGGAATTACGGCAACTCCCCGAATGTCTAGGCATTCACTAGACTTGCACAAGTCTCTACAGCAATGAATATTCATTGAAATCATAATTCCTAGGTTAGATAGCTAATAAGAACAAGTTGTTCCTATAAAAGACTTCCTTAAAGTCGTCCTCAGATGTACTGCCCGCTTATCTAGACTTGCCTAGGATAGAATTACTGTACAGCCATGGGCAGTACAGACTTGGAGCAAGGCTAGGAATAAACATGAAACACCGTTGCCCATGTATGTAGTTATGTAACATATAAGCACGTGTTAAATAGTGGAAAAGTTCAATCCTGAGTCTTCATATTATACGGAGGGGCGGTCGGGTAGCCTAGTGGTTAAAGCGTTCGCTCGTCACGCCGAAGACCCGGGTTCGATTCCCGACATGGGTACAATGTGTGAAGCCCATTTCTGGTGTCCCCCGCCGTGATATTGCTGGAATATTGCTAAAAGCGGCGTAAAACCATACTCACTCACTCACTCATATTATACGGAGTGAGGAGTGACAAGAATATGCACGGGTTGTCCCGCAGCAGGATACTGCACTCCCTTGCATCTTAAGCAGGATGTATGCACACGGGATTGCATAATTATCTCATGGGCGCTATCCCACGTTTTCGCCGGATCAATGCGTGTGTGTATGTATGAGTGAGTACGGTGCTTCGTGGTGACATCGCCCCGGTTCGTACGGTGTTCTATGTACACAAATAAAACTCCTTCATCGATAAGTGTCCTCGTGATAATGCTCGATGATGTTTAGATTTTAATTTATGTTCTCAGATAACGCTCCTTGTTTGTTCTTCCTGGTTCGCGTATACTTGATAATCTATAAGTTATTTAATCTTCATCCGGAGCGGGGCGGTGGGATAGCCCAGTGGTTAAAGATTTCGCTCGTCACGCCGACGACCTGGGTTCGATTCCCGACATGGGTACAATGTGTGAAGCCCATTTCTGGTGTCCCCCGCCGTGATATTGCTGGAATATTACTAAAAGCAGCGTAAAACTATACTCATTCACTCATGTAGAAAATTTACTTTTTATTATTATCGACTCATTGAATTATTTCCACTCTTATCTCCTTTGATAATCTCTTTGGGTGAGTGCTATATCACGCCGCTTTTAGCACTTTTAGATAGTATCAGGTGGGTGGACACATTGCACGATGGACACCTTGCACGCGGGACACCTTTTCGTAAACACCTTGTATCGTCACTATTTCTGAGTTATTCATAAACACATGATCATGAAAGTGTACAATAGACTCTTTTGCAGAGATTTCTTATGAATATGAGGGCGGTTGGGTAGCCTAGTGGTTAAAGCGTTCGCTCGTCACGCCGAAGACCCGGGTTCGATTCCCGACATGGGTACAATGTGTGAAGCCCATTTCTGGTGTCCCCCGCCGTGATATTGCTGGAATATTGCTAAAAGCGGCGTAAAACCATACTGTCTCACTCATTGTGAATATGAAAATGGATTTTTCGATTTTATGTATTATTTTTAGTCAAACATTGTACCGAGCCCGATATTGTGCTAGGTAAGGGAACGGTTTAACCGCAAGGTTAACGAACAGTCTTACTCGACGACAGTTATCAACAATACTGACTAATTTCAGCCAATTATCACCAGGCGAGTGTCATCTCCCCGTGTAATCACTGATATCTGTGAGTGCGATTTGCGATAATTGACACACAGTGCCACAGTTCTATTATCACGTACGACAAGCAAGCTGCTACAGAGTCCGGAGTAACGAGGGTTGTGTGTGTAGGCGGGGGATATCAATAATTGGATTTTACATCAATACCTCGAATTAGCGGTAGCTCATAATCGACTTTGTGATATCAATAAATGAAAAGCTTTTATTAATATCACCTATTCGATATTCAACTATTTTTTTTATGATGATAGGCGATCTGAAATTTGCAGTTGTTTATCCTGAATCGGTTTATTCACATTAATCTATAACTTGACTTAATGCAACTAATAACATTTTTATGATAAATATTTAATTGTGTTTTTTCAACATTCATTTATTGGTGTAATACAGTGAAAGATTAATGTCAGCGAATACGGAAGAAAAGGTAGCATTGCCTATCATGCTTATTGGATCTGGTATCAGAGCGATCTCAGAGTTGGCAGCGATCTCCCACCGTCCAATGTCTCCATTGAGGTGACCTACTGACCTACATTGTGCACCAACTCAGGCAATCCAGGTGACGCAGCGTTGCCATATTCGGCTTACTTGTTTGTGGATTGGGGCCATTGGCATTCATTTGTTGGAAACAGACATGGCAATTGTCGAGTTTGGGTGACACTCTTTATTGATCTCAGCTTTCTGTCTGATTCGTGCTTGCAGCACTTCCTGTTTTACGCTGAGCAGCTGAGCAGCTGAGACACGCTCATGGGTGTTCTGTACTGTTGAACGAGTCATGCTTTCCTCGTGTGTGTTTGTTGAATGAGTCATGCTTTCCTCGTGTGTGTTTGTTGAATAAGTCATGCTTTCCTCATGCGTGTTAGTTCTTCACTGTTGAATGAGCCATGCTTTCCTCATGCGTGTTAATTTTACACTGTTGAATGAGCCTTGCTTTCCTCATGCGTGTTAATTCTACACTGTTGAATGATCCATGCTTTCCTCATGCGTGTTAATTCTACACTGTTGAATGAGCCTTGCTTTCCTCATGCGTGTTTATTCTACACTGTTGAATGAACCTTGCTTTCCTCATGCGTGTTTATTCTACACTGTTGAATCAGCCATGCTTTCCTCATGCGTGTTTATTCTACACTGTTGAACGAGCCTTGCTTTCCTCATGCGTGTTAATTCTACACTGTTGAATGAGCCATGCTTTCCTCATGCGTGTTTATTCTACACTGTTGAATGAGCCTTGCTTTCCTCATGCGTGTTAATTCTACACTGTTGAATGAGCCTTGCTTTCCTCATGCGTTTTTATTCTACACTGTTGAATGAGTCATGCTTTCCTCGTGTGAGTTCTACACTGTTGAATGAGCCATGCTTTCCTCATGCGTGTTAATTCTACACTGTTGAATGAGCCATGCTTTCCTCATGCGTGTTTATTCTACACTGTTGAATGAGCCTTGCTTTCCTCATGCGTGTTTATTCTACAGCGTTGAATGAGTCATGCTCTCCTCGTGTGAGTTCTACACTGTTGAATGAGCCATGCTTCCCTCGTGTGAGTTCTACACTGTTTAATGAGCCATGCTTCCCTCGTATGAGTTCTACACTGTTTAATGAGCCATGCTTCCCTCGTGTGAGTTCTACACTGTTTAATGAGCCATGCTTCCCTCGTGTGAGTTCTACACTGTTTAATGAGCCATGCTTTCCTCGTGTGAGTTCTACACTGTTTAATGAGCCATGCTTTCCTCATGCGTGTTCCACGCAGTTGAATGAGTCATGTTTGACACATCATGAGTAGCTGTTATAGGCTTTATTCATGCGTGTTTTAAACTGATTAAATTAGGCATACTTTCATTCTTTGTGTTCTGATATGATACATTGTGTCATTTTCCATGCGTGTTGTACACTTACAAGCATTGATATGCTGTCGGTATGTGTGGTCCACGCTGGATGCTTCAAAGCGTGTTCTAGAAATATGTTTTGGACATGATTTCATTCTGCGTGGTTGGCTGGTTGTTGGTTGGTTGTTGTTTTACGCCGCACTCAGCAACGGACCAGACAAAGCAGTGATTGACACCATGAGCATCGATCTGCGCAATTGCATGCATCAACCAAGTCACCGAGCCTGACCACCCGATCCCGTTGGTCACATCTTACGACAATTATGGGTTGCTGAAGATAAATCTAAACAGACAAGTTGAAACATGTCTTCACTATTAAGGTTATATCTTTGTGTTTGTTTGATGTTTAACGCGACACTCCAATATTCAAGCTCTATACACTCAAAACCAGAAAATTATCACTTTGTGTGGGTTCATTGGAGTTTGAATCTTCATATATATCCGAAGTTGTCAGTGTTTGTTGTTTAACGCCGCACTCAGCGGTATTCAAGCTATTTGACGGCGGTCTGTAAATGATGGAGTCTGAACCAGACAATTTAGTGATTGGCTTCACGTGCACCAATCTCCGCCATCGTTAAACGATGACATGCATCAACCAAGTCAGCTAGTTTGTCGCCTCTTACAGCAAGCATGGATTGCTGAATACATATTCTAACCCGGATCTTCACCGGGCGATGTCGTCAGTGAACCTGTGGGGATTGTTAGCCATCATTGATTATTTGGCCGATAATTGAAAGGTTATAACTACTGACAACAGATACTGACGTAAATTCACACATTGCTGTAGAATGTTCATTGTTACTGTTAGTCTAGGTCGAATCGAATCGATAGTTTGGGTGTGTATTTCTTCGTTTTGGTCAGTTGTTATCACATATTATTTATAGTATTCGGTCGCCGGCAGGCAAACACTCTGATGTTTTCCATCATATTAAAAAAACCTGAGTTCAAGATTAAAGTGCCTAAACGATTAGAAACAGAGCTATTGCGTCTATTTGTGATTGGGAATTCCCGTGAAAGAAATCCGTCAGTGAATACGTCATGTCCAGAATACGCGAAAAACATATAGGACGTCAAAACGTATCGTTCATACAGTTATGAACGTCGGTTTCACGGTCATGTGGCCGGCCTCTCGACTAATGGAAAATGGAAAACTTTTTTAAATATTGTTATTTTGTCATATTTATTTAAATGCACTCATCTCAAACTCCTTTAAATAAGTGTACTGGTGTTTAATTGGGATGGTGATGGACCTAATTGGGTTTCTATAAATTCTTGTTTTAATTTAAATTTAATTTAATTCACAATATCGTTTCCCATCGCACATTTACAGCAGTTTGAAAGAGGAAGAACAGCTGCACTTGACTATCTTGACAAGTGGCTTGTGGCACTCATTTGTTTAGTCTGCAAAGCCATACACATGTAGTCACTATCATCACCATATCACCATGCGACAAGTTTGAATACGTGTTGGGGCGGTCGGTTAGCCTAGTGGTTAAAGCGTTCGCTCGTCACGACGAAGACCCGGGTTCGATTCCTGACAGGAGTAAGTGAGTATTGTTTTACGCCGCTTTTAGCAATATTCAAGTAATATCACAGCCGGGACACCGGAAATGGGCTTCACACATTGTATCATACGGTATCATAGTTGTGTTTTGGACCTTAAGTTTGCAGCGTTTCGACGACAGTTTTTTAGCCTAGTAACGTTTTGACAGCGAATGTATTGTTTGATCAAATCAAATGTTCAGGTGTATACTTTCTTTTTCCCGCCAGTATAACGTGAGATTCGCGTTACACGGATCAAAGTGTGTGAACGCATGCCTATTCACTCTGGATGTCAAAACAGGATCTACAATGCGATTGAATACTGCGGTTCGTGCGATACTGAATTTCTACCGTAAATGACGTATTTGCTAAGGTGCGGTCCTAAGACAACGACACACGGAAACAGGATTTCCCTTGAAATCGTTATTTCGTTATACGTCTCAGCCTATGCCTATCTTAGTTAGATTGGTGACAAAATCCTTGTCCATGGTCCTGGTCGTACGTGGTACAAAGGTGTGATTGTTTACTTGATAAATGCCACGAGTAGCGTGAATACGGATGTGACAGTGTTTTCCTATGCTGTCATAGTAACGTGAATGCTTGTGGGATTGATGGAATGTACTTTGTATCAAGTTTCAGTGATGGGAACGCTCGTCAGCTGCTGACACTAAGTTCACACGTACCCAGTTACTTATACTGAGGATATATTCAGTGTGGTTATGCTGACTTTAAAACTATTGTTTGGTGTTTCTTTTTGTTTAACGCCTCACCCAGCAATATTCCATCTATATGATTTGTGTGTTTGTTTGTTTGTCTGTTTGTTTGTTTAACGCCGCACTCAGCAATATTCAAGCTATATAACGGCGGTCTGTTAATAATCGAGTCTGGACACGACAATCCAGTGATTGACATCATGAGCATCGATCTACGTACGCAATTTGGATACGATGACATGCATCAACCAAGTCAGCGAGTCTGACCACCCGAAAAAGACGTTAAAAGATGGTACTTGTTGTTACCCTGTCTGGCGCTCGACATTAATGGGCTAAAACAAGGACTGGTCGGCTCGGAGTCAGTATACTGTGTCTGAGTGGGGTATTCATGTTAAACTGCGTCATGGTATCTCAGTGAGCTAGCACTATAAATCGGCATCAGTCCGGACTAGTACAAGCAGCCACACACACACACATGTGCATGCACGTCGCTATATATAAGTGCAATAATCTTGGACGCGACGTTAAACCCAATTTCACCTCACCTCACCTCACCTGACCACCCGATCCCGTTAGTCATCTCTTACGACAAGCATAGTCGCCTTTTACGGCAAGCATGGGTTGCTGAAGACCTATTCTACCTCGGATCTTCACGGGTTTTTTAAATTGAGGTATTGGGTACTTCTGTCGCGCTTAAAAGACTGGTTCGAACCCAGATAGTCACCAAATGTTGTCGCAACGCTGCCAAATACCCAAACAATGTACCCACTGACTGTAACTACTATGTTTGAGATTATCTAGCATTGTGTTCATACGATATCTTATCATATCACTTTATCCTAAAATTATATTCTATATTCCAGGATAACAGAGCTGCTGGTGACTTGCCTCCTCATCACGCTGTCTGTAATCGCTCTGTCAAGTACATCCGTGTCACGTTTACCATTTACCGGAAACCAGACTGCACCCCTCGACCCGATCATCCAGACAGTCATGTCTGTAAATGTGGGTCGCTACATCTACACGACTGTCCAAGACTGTTTCCTACACCAACATCTAGAACGTTTTAAGACCGATCTGATTCATCATATAGTTACAACGGCGTCATACACCATATTCCTTGCATACAAACAAAATATATTTCTCAGTGTTGCTGGCTTATTGATGGAGCTTAACGTCATCCCCATAGAAATCGGTCGGTTTATGCGAGACTTGGGTGTGCTGAAATCATCTGCTCTGTATAGAAGAACGGGCATTGTCAGTTGTGCTGTTACCATGGCTTCAAGAGGTGTTATACCCGTTGTGTTTCTAGCCATAGCTTTAAAACACGATTCTCCGCTTAAGATGGCGTTTCCCCCAATGATTTTATTTTTTATGTGTATTGTGTTCTTCTGTGTTCTGAATTTCTGGATGATTTTGCAAAATGTGAGCCGAGTCATTAAATATTCCCCGTGTGGGACGGGCGATATCACTGAACAGAGCTCCAATTATCAAGTGACCAATCAGATGGAGCCCCAGTCACGTGACATAGCACTTCCGGGGACTCAGGGAATAAGACAGTGTGTAACGTTTTCCAATTTAAACTATGGATATCTTAAATCTTACGACAACAGGAACATTTGTAATAACGTAAACGGTAAAAATAACCATTGTAGCAAGAACGTATCCAAACCAATACTTGTCTACAAAGAGCCACGTTTACCCCCTACGTCTGTGGGATTAGAAACTGATGACGTTTCCAGCAATTCCGTTGACGTAGTTCACAACAATTTCAGCACGAGGTTACATTTACAGGACGAAACGAGCCGAATGAGTTCTGCTGGGACTGATTTATCAAGAGTGTCTCGAGGGAGCGTGCGAAGCAGCAGTTCGAGCACGAGCTGCTGCTCCACCTCAGTCCTCATCCAGAATGTGATGCCGCATCCTCAGCATCTTCCGGAGATACCAATCGCAACAAACAGTTCAATCTCAGCACTCTCGGAAACAGCTGACCCTTCTTTCACAGCGTGAGGGGGAGCTGGGTAGCCGTATAATTTTCAAATGTTTCGTACAAAGAGGAATCTCGTTCGTCCGGTCTTAAGGAATCGACCAAGGCGTGTGTGTGTTTGCGTGCGTGTGTGTGTTTGCGTGCGTGCGTAAATGCGTGCGTGCGTGCGTGTGTGTATACATGCTGGATGTGTTGAGTAAAACAAATACACGTTCGGTTCCAAATCTCACATAGAAAAAAGTGTGTGTTTTGAACTAAAGACTGAAAACCTATACTGTTATAGTGTATATCTCAGTGTTTGCTGTAGTGCATGTGTGCGTGTGTGCGTTCGTCCGTGTACGTTCGTTAACTAGTATGTACATGCGTCTGCTTATGTGTTTTTTATGCCTGCCATCGACCACCAAAAGCAAAAATGTGATTCACAACTGAAAGGTAATCGCACAACCAAACATGGATGTGATTTATTGTGAAACGATATTCACGATTGCCAAAGGGTGCTCATGTTTTGTGTACAGAATTGTCATAGTTACCTAATTTATTTTTTCCAAATACATATAGCATATATATATGTATTTTAGAAATGTTACGCTATTTTAATAACTCAACGGAATATATCGCGGCTCCTATAGTTAAACTCAGAATATATTGAAAATCAATTTCACAAGCAAATTTAAGCTTAAAGAACTGGTAGCAATGCCGCATTGTTTAGGGCCACTGTCTAACTTATTGTTATATGTAAACTGACTAGCAAAGAAAAGCATACACCGAAAAATTGGATTTGTCCAAAACTTAGAAACAAATTAGACACAGTTTATGAATAACAACTTCTTTAATACTGTAAAGGCGACGTTTCGGTATAGATCCTTATACCGTTGTCAAGCAAGGCTGGTCTTGTTTGACAACGGTATAAAGATCTTGCTCGACAACGGTATAAGGATCCTGCTTGACAACGGTATAAGGATCTTGCTTGGCAACGGTATAAGGAGCTATACCGAAACGTCGCCTTTACAGTATTAAAGAAGTGGTTATCCATAAATTGTGTCTAATTTGTCATCCGTCAACTTCTGAGTAATGACTATCAAACAATTCAACTTAGAAACATTATCAAAACAATACTAGGGTGAAAACAGTCACCGAAACAATGCCAATTTAAGATCCACACGACTATGAGACCCGTATGAAATACAACACCATCGAATAACGATTTCTCGTTTTATTTTCATTTCCAGCCACCGTCAAACAAGGGTGTATGCTTTATTTTGCAGGCATTGAATCAACCTAAAATATATTTCCCATGTTAGTGTAGATTGTTAAAATCCTACACTCCTCGCTATAGGGCGAAGGTGTAGCCTAGCGGTTAAAGCATGTCCTCATTGCGCATAAATCCCGGGTTTGATTCCTTAAAATGATAGAATATGTGAAGCCCATTTCTGGTATCCATCGCCTTGATATTGCTGAAAAATTGCTTAAAGCGGCGTAAAACCATACTCACTCACTCTCAGCAGTCGCGTTATCGCTACCCATGGGCGGATACAGAGGGGGGTGCGGGGGTGCGCTGCCCCCCCCCCCCCCCCCCCCCTTTTATTTCGAAAAAAATCTTTATTTCTGTATTAATTACCACCAAAGACAATAAATAGATCTTAATTGTGCACCCCCCCCCACCCCCCCACCCCCCCCCCCCCCACCCCCTTTTCAAAAAAGCTGTATCCGCCCATGCTACCAGTACTTTCAGTGATAACCAATGACGCTTTAAAGGCAGCCAGTAGTCTATCCCATTCACCAGCACTGTTCAATCCATCCTGAGTCTTGACTGTGAATGAATCCCACCCAACTCCACCCAACCCCATCCAACCCCACCCAACCCAGCCCATCCCACCCGAGCGACCGATGTGGGACAACATACACTAGGCCCATGGATTGCGAAGTTGATTTGTTGGACACAATGGCTCCTTGGTGTGATATTATCAGAATGGAAGACTGCTGACAAATTCGGTATTAGGATGTTTTGCTCACACTATCAACCACAAGTTTACCTGGATCGAATCCAGTTTGCGGGTTGACGCTAAGTAGCTGTGATATTGTTGTAAGTGTATGTAAGTCTAGATTGTTTAGGGTTAAATGAATCAGGGACGTGAAGCCTCGAGTCTCGAATATGATTTCCCTTACAGTTACCCAACAGTATTACGATGTCATGCTTTCAGTGACGGGAGCATGCTTGTCACATTTAACGATGTATTTAAACAGGATTTGTTAAATTGTGAAATGTATTGTTACTTTATTTCTTTAAATAAACTATCATGAAAGAAATATGTTTTTTTTTGTCTCATCGGGGCTGTGGGAAGCTTCGTGGTTATAGCTTTCGCTCATCTCGCCGAAGACCCGGGTTCAATTTCCCATATGGGTACAATGTGTGAAGCCCATTTCAGGTGTTCCCCGACGTGATGTTGCTGTGCTGTGATGTTCGTGTACTTAAGACATAAACGACGAGTGGGAGTTGTTTATCGGACACATGGGTTGCTGAAGACCTATTCTACCCTGGATCTTCACGGGTCTAGTGACTCATAAACACATGCTTCTGATCTGATACAGTCGGAATCCAACAGTGGTCTTTCGGTAGAGATTGATCATGACTATGGAATTTGTTTTGATGCTTTTATTTTGTAAGTTGTGCTAATGATTAATTTGTAAGAACGATAAAATCGTAACTGGATCCATTCCCCTGGTCCGAGCGATCTTAAATTACCCACCTGTGATTGTCCTTAACATCTCACCGACCTGAGCCCACTTGCACAAAGCGATCTTAGCGCTAAGATCGCTTTGTGCAAGTGGGCCCTGCATTTACAGGGGATGCTAGTTGGTGTGTGTATTCAATGAGCGTTCAGCGGAAATGTCAGTTTGCGTGATGTGTATAATATTTATAGTTATATAACATCTAAGCGGTCATATAATACTCTTGCCACGTATGTAGGTACTGATGTTGCTGTAATTTAACTCACATATGTGCTATGTTATAAAGAGGATATTCGTATGTGGTCGCTACGAAATAAAACGCATCGCGTTATAACGAGATATTGTTGTATCGAAGGCGGTTCACGATCAATGTAATATGTACTGACCCCTTTGTCTCGAAGTTTTGAGTTAAAGTTTTAAAAAACATGTTTTTCATACGTCAGTAAAATACATCGGGTTTCACAGAACATCTGGACCCGCTTGCACAAAACGATCTTAGTGCTAAGATGATCTTAACTTCCATACTTTAACATAGGCTCACAATAGTCTTAGCACTAAGATCGTTTTGTGCAAGTGGGTCGTGGTCCATAATGTTCACTATTTTTCTCTTATATGAACGTTGATGCGTAAATACAAACACATACGCATACGCACGTACACGCATACACAACCACCTAACATACATGCACACATACCACCTACGCACATACGTATCACACACAGTCACTCACACATACACACACATACACACACACCAAGCTAAGATATACCGCACACCCCTCACACTACACTGATGCATACAAACATCACACACTAATACACATTCACCACTGCACGAGTCATACAAATCATGCGAACCTTAATCACATACAAATATACACCACAAGCACAACATATGCTATATTTCATGCATACTCCACACATACACCGCAAACATAGCTAAACGCACACAACACACACACATCGTTTATAGACACACACATGCCACACACACTCATCACGCACACTTAAGCATTAGCACACACATAAACATATACACACACTCACACACACACACACACACACGAACACAAAAGCACATTCATACACCACGTGCACACACACACACACATACCTATGCTACATGCACCATATACCACAAACACAAAACACACATACACATAGGTCATCGATACACACATTAAGTATACCACATACACACATGACCACATCAATATACAACGTCAATGGATCACTGAAAATCAGTGATGACACCAGGTGTTTTTAGAGAAGGGTAAGCCTGTCCTGCCCGCGACTCCCACAATTTGCATAATTAAAGTATTTGTTTGTTGCCTCAGGCCGCACAGCAGTATTTCTGCCACACGACGCTGACAGCTACACGACACCACACCACACCGCACCTCACCACACCACACCACGCCACGCCACGCCACGCCACGCCTCACCGCACCGCACCACACGACACGACACCACAACACACCACAACACAGCACGCCACACCACATAACACAACAGCCCACCTCACCGCACCGCAGCGCACCGCAACGCAACGCAACGCAACGCAACACAACAACATGTAACCAATGATCACAGTCTCTCTCACGTACACACAGCACTCCCACAGCTTCACTATTAATATCATGCCCAACACAGGACGCCCCTTGTAACGGTAACAAAACACGGTAACAAAACGGGGTCGAAGGTCGTAAATCGGCACAGGTACACTTCTCGATCACACGACCTTTCCTTGCCAACCCCATATGTCTATTTCTACACTGTAAGGAGTTGTTGATCTCGGGGTAACTTCCCTGTCCAAGCACACTGTGATTGGTTGACTTGCAGCTCTGTGATTGGCCAGATTCATTTAAAAGTTTGAACACAGAACCTGAATCTTAAGAACATTTATAATAGCCTGCAAACGTGTTTCAACTAAATGTGCTTTGAGCGACGAGTACAGTATGAGAGTATCTCATTATCATAACCGTTCACAATGATGAACTCACTATATATTGTACAAAATTATTCTTTTGAATTTTCTTATTTGACATTTATTGATGCACATATACTGAACCGCAAAAGAAACGTCACTATGGATAGATATATGAGAAACCTTATTTGTCCAAACACTGTGAACGTACTTTGAGAGATATTAAAAAGATGAAACTTGGCAAAACTGATTATCAAGGTTGAAATTAAAGTGTCAAATGTTCTTAAAGTGAAACACAACACTTGTCTCTGAGAAAATGCCATCACAAGTCAGTATCTCGTGTGTCCGCCATGTGCATTGATGATTGCCGTGCAACGTCGATACATGGAATGAATGAGGCGGTTGATGAAGGCCATAGGCACTTGAGCCCACATTCTGAGGACACAGTTCAGCTGCGGTTGTCGGCCTTGGTCGGACGTCATTCAGCCGTCTTTGAATCTCGTCCTACAGGTGCTCAGTGGGATTTAAATCGGGTCTGAGGGCAGGCCACTGCATGGCTCGGATTTCATTCTGCTGGAGGAAATCTCTTCTTGCTCTCGCAGTGTGGGCACGGGCGTTATCATGTTGAAACTCGTGGTTGCGGCGACGTGCCAAATGAGGTATGGCGTGTGGTCTCAAGACTTGATCAATGTACCGAGCTGCTGTGACACCATTGTCTCTCCCTGGACCGATGTTCTGGAAGACCACAGGGCCGACCCTCTGTGCAAGACCAATTCCACCCCACACCATGATGCTCGGACCACCCCACGAGTCTCTCTCAACAACACAAGCATCCGAAGAACGTTCCCCACGGCGTTGCCAGACTCTCTCTCTCTGCCTTCTGCTGTTGAGATACAGTAACGGCTCTCGTCTGAGAGCTGGCCCTGTGTTGCCCACTGAAGACGGTCCCGGCGATGACGTGATGTCAGAATGGGTCCTTGCCGGGCGGTTTGTCCAGCTTGCAATCGTCCAAGGGCTTGGTGTCGCTGATTTCTTGTCAATCTTGACATGTGGTAGCAATTCAATAACGAATGAATGTTATCCGATCTGGGTGGATTTTTATAGGGCAAGAAATGCATGTGGGAACGCATGTGCATTTCAATTTGCACGGAACACACGTGCATCGGGTTAACATGGCCGTTGCCGTGATGCGTTTGGGCGATCGGTTTTATTGTCTGCTTTGTTTCTTTATCAT